GGGGGGGAGGGGTGCGACACCAAATCCTTGTACAACTGGCACTTCAGAAACAGAGGAACTACAACATCCAACACTGTCCTCTTTTCAACCAAGACATTTTCAACGGATTGAGTTATTTTTAAGCCTAGTTCGCCTAGTTAAAACTCCAAAAATGTTAATCGTACTTTTTGGCAGAAAATAAAATCAAGTACTGAAAACAAAAACACCCTTTTTCTTGATACGCCATGGAAACTTAGAATGAAAACTGAATTGGAAACGACTCGAAACTCAGGAATTCGATTCGCGTTCTGCCGCGTACCTTGCCTTGTTCTCATTCACCTAAAAGACCGGTCAAGCTTCTGAAATGACCAAGGCTGCGAGTAAATGGAATCGTTTGGGAATTTCCGGAGTCAGTTCTTCCTTTTTTAGAATCCTTGATGAAAGTTAAATATGTTCAAGGTCATCTGAGGGTTCACAACAAATGACATTTTTGGGGGTAAGGTTACCATATTGAGATAATTGAAAGAACCCCACGGTGACGGCAAACTACAGTTCAGGTTTAACCGCGAAGGACGAAACATGCAGTACCTAACTTTATTACGCTGCTTGTAAGTTCATTCCAGACATCATGCAGTAAATTTATTATCAATGATGACCTAAACCGGTTAAATTCTGCTTCATTTTTCTAGGCTGTTCATCGGTTTGATTTTGCCTGTTATGGTCTCTGGTTTTTGGATTTCTCCCCTACCACGGAGACGAATGCAATGGATGAGACATCAACATGGAGGAGTGAAAGGTAATGGTAATGGAAAGTCTGCTTAGTGATAAGATAACTTAAAAAAACGCCCGAGTAACATATCAGTTTGTAGATTACCTAATAGCATCATGAAAGAATAAAGCTGGATACATATTTATGAGCTAATGGTCGAAAAGAGCAGGGGGCACGTTTTTGTTCAATTTTTTCTTTTTTCCCTCGTTCGTGACATGACGATATATTATTGTTTCTTTCTTAGAACGTCCTTCTTTCAAAGCATAGAAGAGAGCTACTACCGACAGGGGATTTGAAAATTTTTTTTCGTTCTGTCCCGTCCTTCTAAAAGACAGGAAGTCCTGTCCCCAGCTCAGGGAAAATGGGAAAAAGCTTGAGTCCCGCTCCCCTGACCTAGGACAGCAAACAAGAAAAATTTACCGTCAGTCGGTTATTACTCCGAAAACAACTGAGTAAACCTGACTGCTGTTAATTGATCACGATGCCACTTTAATCATGATACCAGTGAAAGCCTGTTTGCTTTGAAGTAAAAAAAAAAAACCTAACATACAGTCAAACCCAGTTAACTCTGAAATAGAGGTATCACAAAAAGTGTCCGCGTTAACTAACGTAGTAAGTGGGTCATGTTATTAAAGTAAAAAAAAACTCTTTTCAATCAAAACCCTTCTCGTGTATAACTCGTTTGGTGCCAAAAATTGACCTCTACAAATCATCCTATCCGGTATATTGTAGGGCTGGGAACATCGACATGCTGTCAACTGAAGGATTTTTTTCCTTGAAAAAGGAAAGGTCTATTTACATGCAGCACCCAGTTGATAATGAAGTGTTCGCATTAGCGAGGTTGGCTTTCTATAAGAATTCGTTGATTGGACAAGAACTAAGTGTCCATTGACAGCATTAACTGGTGTCCGTATTAAGCGGGTTGAATTTAGAGAAAATGTATTTGCTAAGAGCTTTCCCCAGGGGCAAAGAAAACTGTCCGTAATAACAAAGTGTCCGTATTTCAGTGGTTACCACTAACACGCGCCCTTGAATGGCTTTTCCTCTCTGTTGAAACCTGAGTTTCCGTGGACAGCGTCAACAAACTGTTTCCATGGTTTTCTCACGCGCTCCCGACAGAGAAGGTTCCCTCATCGCTGAATGAAGGGCGAAGCCCAATAAGATGAAGGATTATATTGTTAAAACAACGATGACTCTGCGAGCTGTGTGAAATAGCCGAAACACTCTCTATAGTTTACGTTAAGGTTTTTAAGTTGTTTATTTATTTGATTGTATGAAAACACGGGAGCCGTCGACGAATTGCCAAAGAGTATAAATTCAAAGAAACGAAAGATATCACGCAGACAAGGGAAAAAGTTTCCTCTGAATGGAAGCTGTTTTCGAAAATGAATTTTGCAACCTGCAGATCTACTGATTATTCTTCATGTTGTCGAATACAATCAACAACCCTTACAACGGCAACAACAAGAATTTATCGTGGTTACGGTTTGCCATTTACATACAGCGCAGAATTAGCAAGAACTCAGCGAGTTGCGAGCGTGTATTGAGAACGATTAGGTGGTTGTAAAGCTTTGTAAATTACAGTGTGTAACAAATTCGTACTTCGTGTCAGATCCTGTAGCAAAATATTGGAAAAACGACTTATAAAACGCCGACATGTTCTTCCAAGTGCTCGAGAAACAGGGAAAGAATCTTCTCTAGGCCAATCTTCTCTAGGCCAATTGACCTCCACCAAAACGCAGGTTTGAACCGAAGAAAAAACCTTTCAGGGCGCGTGTTAGTGGTAACAGCTGTAAGCAGGTGTCCGTAAAGCGAGGTTTGAACTCTTCTCGCTGCTAAACTAGGATTCCCCGGCAAGAATTTACCGCTTTATAGGCTAGTCTGTAATAAACTAGGAATATTAATTACTATCTAGGGACCTTAAGATCCGATAACGGCGATGGCAACGAGAACGTCAATAAAACATTACAGCCTGGTAATACAAAAAACAACAATTCTTCACGTGCAGCACACTTGTTTTTGTTCATTGCTTTGCCGACACTGCACGATTACGACGTGGAAATGCCTTAATTCCTAATTTCACGTTTTAAGGAGGACTTAACTTTTCTTTCTCTTTCTGAAGTTCAGCGGATATGGTTCTTAGGAATTCAACTCCAGGATAATTCGCCTAGTAAGCTTTTGACAAAGCAATTGAGTTGAATTATGTCGATGAAGATTGAACAGGGAAAGAGATCTCACTTTATGTGATTTTTGTTGCCGTCGCCGTCCTCCGACCTTCTATTAACTAGAACGATCCTTACACTAACTCAAAATGATGTGGTGACCATGATCTTTCCTTCAAGGTCCGTATAATTTCTTTTTCCATGGTCCCTTTGGGCGATGGTCACTACACGGACAGAGGTATCGAGTTCCCTGGCAACGAGGTAAGGTTTCGTCATCAAGACGTGCCCCATTCCCCCGCCGGTTCGTCATTTCGGAAAGAATTTGTTTTACTAGACACAGACCCCCACCGGGCCAGGGAGAAGGTGATGAGGTTTAGGTTGCGTTCCTTTTGACCAATCAAAATCCTGATTTTACAATGATTTATCGTTCCATTAATAATCTGAACCATCGATCTCGACGTTTGGATCGTTCAGACTGGTATCTCAATCTGGTTTCAGATTTTCGTTCCATTTAACGAAACTGCTCTTTGATCGCCAGAATGAGCTGGTATCTCGATAAACATGGCTGGTCAAAGTCAGTTCAGGCAAAAAGATTTTACACTCCTCCGTTGTTTTATGCCGCTTAAGGACCGTAGTTTAATTGATTCAAGTTGCACTGGGGTAACTCTAAATCCGTAAAGAAACGAGAGCGCTTGGAGATTCTCACCGTGAAATGTCCGATGTGTGTTTAGTGCTCGCCTCAAAGCATTTTTAAAGCTTCGTAATTGTCTTCTGAGCTTGTTTGGTTAAAATTACAGATATTTTCAAGTTACAAGGCCCAGTAAGGACAGCTACTTGTTAAAGAGCTACTTTTCCTTCCATCGCTCCACGAGAAGACTCATAATTTAACGAAGATAATTATAAAAACAGATGCGAGGAAATTGAGAAGATCAGTGTGCAGCAGCCATCTCTTCTCAGATTTTTGTTCCGGATAGCACGAAAGTACAAACAATCTGGATTGTATAAAATCCGAAAAATGTTTGGCTAAAGGGAACGCAACCTTAATGTCGCTTTAACCTGCGATCAGGAGCTCTTTTTTCCTTTAGAGATACTTTGACACTTTTTAAGATAATGGAGGGGAGGGCATTTTCTCAGGTTAATGGGGAGTTAAATCAAATACCTTTTTGAGCGACGCACATCAACCGGAAGTAAGTCGTTTTCCCTTTCATTTTGACATGACGCTACAAACGTTGCTTTCCTAAGTGTCTTCAGTTTTCTCTAATATAGACTAGTTGCCCGAAATTCTGGTCAAAGTCATGTCTGTAGGAAGACAGCCGGTCATTAACTTATAAACTCCAAATCGTGTTTTTCGAAAGTAACTTGAAGGTGCGGATTGAATACTACAAAACAAAATCATCGGATGGAAAGAAAGCCATGCTAATTCAACATACAAGTCAACAGAAAAGGAAATTGATTAAATTTAACTTCTTCTGATCTTATGGCTAACTTTTTTTAGTTGAAATAGAACTGGTGGTCTGCTGCGTTCTGATTGGTTGAGCTACCACTAAATATAGGCTACATGTTATAGCCCACTAGTAGCGAAAAGCGCCGGCTTTGAAAACCAAAACAAAGGTTTTAAGTCTGGCTTAAACTAGCTAAAGTTTTTTTTGTTTCGATAGTTTTTACCAAGTAGTTGGATTTTACTGAAACAATTATTCCTCTTACCCTCATGGCCTCTGAGTCAATAGCCCATTGACTCAGGGCTATAGACTCAGACGCCCATTCGGGCTCGAGGAATAATTGTTAAATACCTCATTCGCGTACGACTAAGCAACTATTGCTCATTGCAGCTAAAGCAACTCTATAACGATGTGCAAAAAGAGAACAAGGTTTCTGGCCAACAGAAATCCGTAAAGTCTTAAGAACGCCGGATTAAGATAATTGTCCTGTCGTGGGGTATAACCGCCTCGTAACAACTTTTTCTGAGTACAGCCCGGGTGGTTTTAAAAGTTGTCCCAGTGCTGAATAAAAAGAGCGTATTCCAAGATTTAGCGTCTGATTTTGTTTAATAACTGATTATTTTCTTTGTTACCATCTATTGGTTATCTTCCAGTTCAGTGCGGAGGTAACGTAACTATTAACAACACTAGTGAAATCACTAGTCCCGGATTCCCATTAAACTATCCTAATAATGCAAACTGTGAGTGGAAAATCTACGTGGATGAAGGCTCGCGAATAAAGCTAACGTTCATGGACTTTAAAGTAAGTGATAAATTAATGAGGGAACAAAGTTTTTAAGTGATTAGCAACGACATTTAAAATTCTATTTTTAAAGTGACTAACATTTTGGGCTTTGATCCAAGAAAAGATAATCATCCCGACCCCTTTCCACAGTAAGGCTTTTGAACTTGTTTACAAATTTGAGACAAGCTGAACGTTGCTTTGCACACTGAGTAGAGGTATTTTATTGCCCTCTAAGGGGTCTCCAAACGTTGCTTTCCATGAACCTGCTCCAAACTTAGCTTGCTATTTGTTGTGACAGCTACCTGATCGTCGAGTTTCCTCTATTGTACCTAACGTTAATTCTTTCAAAAACCTATTTGAGCGGTTTTATTCCTGACTTTCCCCTGTCTTTAAAACCTTCATTTCTCGATAACCATCTTACCATCCAACATTCGGATTTTTCCATTTTTGTATTAATTTCGTTGACTGATAAGCCAGTAAATCGAAGTATACACGCTTATGCTCTCATATAGCTGAACGGTTTTGAGTTAAGAGGGTTTATCTTTCATGATATTCACAAACAACAGAGAAGGAGTTCGAGCGATTCGGGCTACAAAGTACAAACAATATGTGGCGGGAAAACATACTCGCACACGCGCACTTGTTGCGCAGAAGTACACAACAAGTATAAAATATACTGTTTGACGTTGGCACAACAGGAATAAAATATTTAATTATATTGAAACACCCAACTTTGGTTTAAACGATTTGCTTACCAAGTCCAATCATACTGCATTATAGATTTATAGAGTAGAGGAACGAACTTTTGAGACACTCTGTAGTAATTACGTCTCGCTGAGTAACGTATGTTTCACCCCCTAGGTGGAATCATGTCCGTTTGATTATTTGGAGGTTTTTAATGGTGACACAAAAGATATAAAGAAACGTGTAGCTAAACTATGCGGAAGTGATTTACCTGATCCTATCGAATCCAGTGGCAACACGCTCATCCTAAAGTTCTCTTCAGATTACGCAATTTGCTACAAAGGCTTTAAGCTGCAGCTTACAAAAACAGGTGTGGCACTAGCTAGTTTTGTGAGTACATATCAAGAGTAATGAGAATTATTCTCTCTGTACATATTTATCCTGATGTAATTAGGCATTTACAATATGGTACTGAGCAAGTGACTGCAAAACGCCGGATAAGCAATAGTACCTACAGTGAACATAGACTAGAGATCAGAAAGTAGTTGCGGCCACACTAGAATGCGATACGAGAGGTTTCACCTGTAAGCTTTTACCGGGAATTATTATTATTATGTTTTTTTTTTTATGGATAAGAAGTCACTTCATTGGAGATGGTTGTAGCTCATTGAGGTTCGACCTTAATATGTATATTTCTATGATGTCAATCTTTCGTCTTTCAGCTCCATTGTGTGGCCCAGAGGATGCTTTTGCGGATTATGCCTTCCTTATAGATGCTTCAAGCAGTATTCTCCCATCGGAATTTGATATTTTAAAAACCTTCGTCAAACGAGTGATAGACTTTCTTCAGATTGGACCTAATCAGACCCATGTTGGTGTGATTGAGTACAGCAGGAATGCTAGTTTGCAGTTCAATTTTTCAAGATCCTATGACAAACGAGAAATTAAAAACTTTGTGGAACAAGTACCCCATACTGCAGGTATCACACGGATCGATTTGGCGTTGAAGGTTGCTTCGGAACAATTATTCACACCGCAAGAAGGAATGAGAGACGGTTCAAGAAAGGTAAGGTTAATTAAGCAGCTATCAATAAATTCACCGTGATTTTCCTTAAGTTCCCCGGTAAGTGTGAAACGGTAACTTATTTTTCCTTCTAAAATTCCAAAACATGAACCCAAGGACTACAGAAGGATTTTATGTCGAGAACATTTTCTAATTTTGTGAAGTATTATTTGTAAAGAAACTGCATTTGACAGTTATCGTTCAAAGAGATACAAAGTTCTAAACTAGGTAATGGGTGAAAGGGGTGCCATTTGTCAATAGAAGGTATTCTAAAGGGGTACCTTTTCTACCAAAAATGGTAAGAGGTGAAACGCTAATTTATTATTCCTTCTAAAATTCCAAAACATGAACCTTTCTAACATTTGATGACCTGATGTACGCACCACATCGTATTGAGAAACGTTTCGTTCTCTTAGTTGTACTCGAACAACAACAAATCAACAAAAATTTTATTCCACATAGTTCAGATACAACACTAATTACATACCACGCACCGTTCACACCTTGCTCAAGGCTTCCGGTTCAGAATGATACCTTGTTTTAGACTCGGGATCCCGAAAACCGCACCCAGTTCAGCGGCGCATCCCCGTTTTGGCCAGGCAAGGGAGTCCACCCACCTTGGATTACAGACGGAAGTTAATTCCCTCCTTTCACCCGATCTGCAAGATATACAGGTTGTCCCAAAAGTTCGTGCCTTTAATTTCATGAGCTAAAACTTTTGATCAAAGCTTAATATTGACACGAAATTTCTCAAACATTTTTATTGCTTTATCGAGTTCATGTATTTAGAAGTTCAGTAACTGGCATTGCCCCTTTGTTTTTTTGTTTTTTTTTTATCACACTCTGTTGCAGTTGCGGCAGTGAGTGCAGGAGCCATGTTATGTAGCGTATAAAGCCCCAGATGATTCATTTTAAGCTTTTTTGTCACCTAGTAAGCAGGAGCCACTTGAGACCAGCTGAACGATGCTTTGCAAACTGAGTAGAGGTTTTTTATTGCCCTCTTAGGGGTCTCCAAACGTTGCTTTTCATGAACCTGCTCCAAACTTAGCTTGCTATCTGTTGCTATCTGTTGTGACAGCTCGTCGAGTTTCCTCTATTGTACTTAACGTTCTTTCAAAAACCTATTTGAGCGGTTTTATTCCGGACTTTCCCCTCGTTTCTTGTCTTTAAAACCTTCATTTCTCAATAACCATCTTACCACCCGACATTCGGATTTTTCCATTTTTGTAGTAATTTCGTTGACTTATAAGCTAGTAAATCGAAGTATACATGCTTATGCTCTCATATAGCTGAACGTTTATGAGTTAAGAGGGTTTATCTTTCACGATATTCACAAACAACAGAGAAGGAGTTCGAGCAATTTGGGCTACAAAGTACAAAAAATATGTGGCGGGAAAACATACTCGCACACGCGCACTTGTTGCGCAGAAGTACACAAATCAAATATTAGAGTCAAAAGATGGCACAACAAGTATAAAATATTTAATTATATTGAAAGACACTACTTTACTTTAAACGACTTGCTTACCATGTCCAATCGTACCGCATTATAGATTTATAGAGTAGAGGAACGGACTTTCGGGACACCCTTAGCTAGCTGTATATGCAATTATATAATTACTACTCGCTGAGTAACGTATGTTTTGCCTCCTAGCTGGAAAAATGTCCGTATGATTATTTGGAGGTTTTTAATGGTGACACAAAAGATATAAAGAAACGTGTGGCTAAACTATGCGGAAGTGATTTACCTGATCCTATCGAATCCAGTGGCAACACACTCATCCTAAAGTTCTCTTCAGATTACGCATTTGGCTACAAAGGCTTTAAGGTGCAGCTTACAAAAACAGGTGTGGCACTAGACTAAGAAGTTCTGTTGGTACATATCAAGAGTAATGAGAATTATTCCCTCTGTACATATTTACCCTGATGTTATTAGGCCTTTATAATGTTGTAGCAAGTGTCTGCAAAACGCCGGATAAGCAATAGTACCTACAGTGAATCTCTACCTACTAGAGATCAGACAATGCGTCAAGCGATCACTTACGAATGCGAAAAATAATAAAACATTTTGTAAAATCACTTTACCCCAAAAGTAATCGCGGCCACATGAAAGAGCGTTTCGAGAGCTTTCACATGTAAGCTTTTATCGGGAATTATTATTATTATGTTTTTTTTTTTGGTGGATAAGAAGTCTCTTAATAGGCCTTGTTTTGATACAAACCTTCTTTGCTTTGTTGTGGAAATTGTTCTTAAAAAATACTGGTAAGCATAAGAATAACTTGATTTACATAATAAAGCAGGAAGGTTTGTATCAAAACAAGGTCACCCTCAGCCTCGCTTCCATCCATAACTGTAAAATGGCCTATTGGAAATGGTTGTCGCACATGGAGGTTCGACCTTGTGTATATTTCTATACTGTCAATCTTACGTCTTTCAGTTCCATTATGTGGCCCAGAGGGTGCTTTTGCGGATTATGCCTTCCTCATAGATGCTTCAAGCAGTATTCTCCCATCGGAATTTGATATTTTAAAAACGTTCGTCAAACGAGTGATAGACTTACTTCAGATTGGACCTAATCAGACCCATGTTGGTGTGATTGAGTACGGCAGGAGTGCTAGTTTGCAGCTCAATTTTTCAAGATCCTATGACAAACGAGAAATTAAAAGCTTTGTGGAACAAGTACCCCATACTGCAAATATTACACGGATCGATTTGGCGTTGAAGGTTGCTTCGGAACAATTATTCACACCGCAAGAAGGAATGAGAGACGATTCAAGAAAGGTATGGTTAATTAATCAGCTATCAATAAATTCACCATGATTTTCCTTAAGTCCCCCGGTAAGTGTGAAACGATAACTTATTTTTCCTTCTAAAATTCCAAAGCATGAACCCAAGGACTACAGAAGGATTTTATGTCGAGAACATTTTCTAATTTTGTGAAGTATTGATATTGAAAAGAAAGTGCATTTGACAGTTATCGTTCAAAGAGATACAAACTTCTAAATTAGGTAATGGGGGAAAGGGGTGCCATTTGTCAATAGAAGGTATACTAAAGGGGTACCTTTTCTACCAAAAATGGTAAGGGGTGAAACGGCAATTTATTGTCCCTTCTAAAATTCTAAAACATGAACCCTTCTAACATTTGATGACCTGATGTACGCACCACATCGTATTGAGAAACGTTTCGTTCTCTTAGTTGTACTCGAACAACAACAAATCAACAAAAATTTTATTCCACATAGTTCAGATACAACACTAATTACACACTCAGATAATTGATTACAGGAATACTGAGAAATCGGAAAAAAGTAAAACACACCATAAAAGTAAACACGGTCATTTTAAGTAAAGGAGCCGGGTTAAGCCCTTTCCCGATCGCAATACTGATTGTAACGCCTTCGAACATTTGATGACTTGATGTGCGCACCACATCGTATTGAGAAAATCTTCGTTCTCTTAGTTGTACTCGANTTCTAACATTTGATGACCTGATGTACGCACCACATCGTATTGAGAAACGTTTCGTTCTCTTAGTTGTACTCGAACAACAACAAATCAACAAAAATTTTATTCCACATAGTTCAGATACAACACTAATTACACACTCAGATAATTGATTACAGGAATACTGAGAAATCGGAAAAAAGTAAAACACACCATAAAAGTAAACACGGTCATTTTAAGTAAAGGAGCCGGGTTAAGCCCTTTCCCGATCGCAACACTGATTGTAACGCCTTCGAACATTTGATGACTTAATGTGCGCACCACATCGTATTGAGAAAATCTTCGTTCTCTTAGTTGTACTCGAACAACAACAAATCAACAAAAATTTTATTCCACATAGTTCAGATACAACACTAATTACACACTCAGATAATTGATTACAGGAATACTGAGAAATCGGAAAAAAAACTTTCCCGCCGATAATAGCATAAAAGACTAATTGCCAGAGGCGGCAGAAAGATGAAAACAAACTTATGGTGATGAAATAAGACAATTCAAAGTAGACAGACTACAAATTGTATTAACTGAGATAACTATACAATAAGGTTAAATAAGAAAAATAAATGGAAAAATTTCCTTCCAGAAAAAAAAGATAAAGGAATAAATAGAACAAAAAAATGTGCTTTCCAAGGCTAAGATAAATCATGCTAAAGTAATTGAGCAATTGGGAGACTTCAATATAGTCATTTTCAAGCTCTAAAGTTTCAAGATTCGGAACTTGGATTTACGAAGACATCTAACAGAAAAGTAGGTTGAGTTTGAAGTATTCTACTTCAACTGGCTCTAGACCTGAGAACGCTATTAAGAACTCTACTGTTGAACTACCACTAGCTACAGACGACATTATGGACCTACTCAACCTCTGTTTGACTTCAACGTACTTTCAGTACGGTGGTAAGAACAATTACAACACGGACTTTGTTAGACGAAACACTCACAGTAACGCTGATTCCAACATTCAGACCAATTCTGGCCCTGTTACGACAGCGACTATACCGTACATCAGAGGCACCTATGAAACTATTGCACGTATATTACAACCTTACAATATACCTGTTGCACGCAAACCGATAACCACTTTACGGCGACTGCTAACTAATGTCAAGGACAAAACAAACCGGAGGACAGAAAGGGAGCAGTATACAAGATCAAATACTGCGACTGTCAGGCTTCTTACATTGGTGAAACCGGCAGAAACCTAAGCACGAGACTGACCGAACACAAACGAGCGACGAAGAATGGTGACGTCAACAATCACATTGCTGAGCACCATTTAAAGACGAAACATCAAATTGACTGGGACTCTGCCACATGTATAACGTATTCTACAGACTGCTAGTTTAGAAAGCTGGTTTACTAACTTAGAACAAACGCCACTGAATCGTACCCAACAGTTACCAGCGCCGTACAAACGACTTATTGACGAGATCAAGCAAAACTAACTACGAGAGAATGACAATTTGATTAACAAAAGACGACTGTTTAACTGTGACAATAGACGGATCGAAACGCACCAATTACTGATTACGAGTCTTCATAGCCAATAACATCACGGCTTAACTGACAAACGACCAATAACATTGCGACGTAATTGACCAATCAGATCAATAACCAGAGTATGATACCGTCAACTGACGTGATACAACTCTGATACAACTTTGACCCTGAATATGACTACCGCACAGGTTTTCGAAACGTCAGTCACTGTCAACAACAACAGTCCTATTCAGGACTACTTTCACCTGGACGATCAAACTCAACCTACTTTTGAAATGACTCCTGGGTTCAAACCTTTCACAGTTTTACATCTAACAGAGTAAGGGATAGAGTTCCAAATCGATATACCAGTCCTTGAAAAAGATTTTTTCATTTGCTCAGTTTTGGAAGTTTCACGTAGAAGCATTCATTTGACGATGATCTGGTGTTACAATTTTGAATCGTACTGGTTTTGGTGAATTGGCTAAGAATGTTGGTCTTGGGACGGACTGCTCATGAATGTCATGCATACATTAAATAACGTACATGTTTAAAGAATGAAAAGGACAAAGGAAGTCATTTTACTTGGACAAAAAAAAGGAACCGCATGTTCTCGAGCATTACCAAGCGAGCGAAAAGCACGTTTTTGCAGTACCAATAGCCTCTTAGAATATAAGGTTCTCAGTTTCGATCCGTTGGCTGGCAACCAATTTGATATGCTATTTTTTCAGGTCATGGTTATTCTTACTTACGGGAACCAAACTGGATTTGACCTTGTTCCTGATCAGACACCTCTTGAGGATGCAATACAACCATTCAAGGATTTGGGTGTCAAGATTATTGCGATTGGTATTGGAAGTGTAGACAGGGAGCAGCTGGCAACTTTGGTCACTGACCCCAGTGATATTCTACAGCCAAAAAATTTTCAAGAACTCTTGACTTTAGTGAAGACAACGGTTGAAAAGAGCTGTGAAGGTACGTATTTAAATAGTTAACTTCATATTGGCGCCTCGGCCCTAAAGATCTGCTTTTAAAAGACAAGAGAATGGATTGGGAGCTTTCTGGCCCCTCCCCTCCCCGCTGATGATGATGCGAACATCTGGAAATAAAGCGAAAAGTGTCAAGGAGTATATGACAGTGGGAGACCCATTACAAACGAAAAGGGGGTTAGCGTCTATGAATCCCGTTTCTTATTCATTTTTGGGCAAACGATTTTAGTATAAACCGCACAAGCTGCATTTCCATGAGTGAAGTCCAAAATCCGTCGCGCTTGCAACAGCAGTGAAGAAACAAAAAAGCTCTGACAAAGGAAAGGCTCATTTTACAAATGGGTCATATTTTGAGGCCAGTAATGTCTTGCTTCACTTAATCGCTAGAGGGAATAGGTTACGCACAAGTAAGCTCCTAGCCTCCCCTCCCCCCTCTCCTCCATCCCCTATACGAACGGAGCGCCACATCGAAGGGTCAAATTTTATCAAGCGCAGTGGCGTACATTACAGTTAATTCACCAGTTAACTGTTCTTGACGCCGTGACAATGTGTCAGTAAAAAGCGGCAGTAATATGATTGCCTTGTTGCGTTTACTAGGTGGGAACAGCCCCAGTTTGTTGCCCGGTCTGTGATGATGATGAACATGAGTCGACGGTCACCGGTTCAGTAAACAACGGCAGATGAGTCATGCATAAACCGCAAATGCCTTATAGCTTGCCAGCTTTTAAAAATTGTTTTATACTTTTTCAGTTGTTAGGAGCAAAGCTAGCGTTATATTAGCCTTATATTAGTGTAATCGGCTCCTGTCTTTAGAGCAAATTCCATTTTTAAACCGCAGAAGTTGTAAGCAACCTCGTTCCCAGGGTCCTCTCCTAGTCGTCTCCCGAAGCGAGAGAGGAACCTTGAGAAGGAGGCTGGGAAATAGGCTCTGATGAACTGGCCTCGATATAGACTACGAGTAGTCCCCATTTTTCCTCAGGGATAGTAGAGCGAGCGAAACGCGAGCGAGCGTGAAAATCACCCAACGCGAGAAAGGCGAAACGCGGCGGTTAGAAAGAAATTTCATGTTGTCTCTCCCCACCGGCATCTCTCTTTTCTCGCGTGGGGTGATTTTCACGCGCTCTCGCGTTTCGCTCGTTCTACTATCCCTGACGAAAAATAGGGACTAATCGTAGTCTAGCCTCGATAGGTACCGTGGAAAGTATATTATCTGTCGGATACAACACGCACGTTTCATACAAATGGCAAAATTTCTGAAAGTGATGATAATTCAGTAACGGTACAGGAGACGGTAGAGATAATAATAATGATGATGATAACTCTGACGGTTTGTTATAAAGTCAGAATGATTGTACTTGAGGATTCAATTCTAATAACTGCAAATGATTTTGAATTTTAATTTTATCTCAATGATTTTCCTTTATTAGCACTTCTGTCAATAAAGCTTGCATTGCTGTTGTTGTTCTTGTCTGTGATTAGTACATTTCGTGGTTAAAGTGCCTCCAGCGATATTACCGGGCTGACCTTATGTCGAGGACATGAGGGAGCCTTTAAAACACCCAATTTTAACTGAATTGAAATAGTAAACCGAACCTTACGGCAGGAGAGTAATAGAAAAAATAAAACAAAAACAATTAAATGGATAATTGTATTTGGCAAATATATTCCACTGTGTTACTTGTTTTCTTTCTTTATTTTTCTATGACTCATCTGCCGCAAGGATCAGTTTGCTGTTTAATTTTGAAATTTGGTATTGAAGATTTTACTGATCCACAGATTTACTAAAGATCCGCTGACCCTCATACCCTCACTGGTTTCTTACGGTATACTTTTAGATACTTCAGAGCTTTTGGGGCGAAAAAGAAACTCCCCTCTTTCTATGAGCGTAATGGAAGCCAAAGATTTGAAACAGGAAAACCTTAACGTCATAAAAAGGTCAAAAATACCATTTCGGGCAGGTTACTTGTCTGAAAAGAATTAGAAGAGGAGTTAAACCCTGAAAACCGTTTCTCGCTACGATACTCAAAATTCGAATTATGGGACTTTAAAGATACAGCATTATAGTGTACCCCCTGGAACCATACCTTTCCTTAATAAAACGATCGACTTCTTTGATTTATTTTACTGCAAAGTAAGCTGTTTTTTTTTCGGTAACATAAACCTTTCTTAATGGTCCAATTCTCGTATCATCTTAGATTTTCGTCTTTTGACTTAAAAACGCTAGTTTTTGGAAAACAAAAACTGATCACCTGACATTTTATTACAAAATTTTCTTTTTACTTTTAATTAGATTCGAAAATAAAGGCAATTACGTTAAAATCATCTCATATCCAACAAGCGCGAGTGGAATAATTGTTTTATTAAAACGCCTACAGAATATCGAGAATTCTTCCCGACTTTATTTGTAAAAACCAACTATTTTCAGCTTGTTTTTAATTTTAAGCAGACGCGTACAACCGTTACCAAACTTGGAGAGCATGGTATAATGGATCATATACCCACAGGTAGCCTAAGCTCCAAATATGAGCATCGGCGAGCATCGGCATTGTTGCGTAACATTCAAAATATAAGGATTTGTATGGGAAAAAACCTATCGTTTCTGTAACCTACGAAAATAAAAGGATTTCAATAAAAAGCAGCTTACCTTACTTAAAATGTGTGTCACGTCTCTCCTGTGTGGTCCACGGGCCGATTTATGGCCGTTGTATGAGTTTTTATGTAAACAGTTTTCTGTCTATATAAAGAAGGTGGGCACTCCAGCGAAGTGGCCCGACTGATTGTTGTATTGCCTGCATGCAGACGTCTCCTATTTCCGTTGTTGCAACAAAGGAAATAGGAGACGTCTGCACGCAGGCAATACGTTGTAAAGAATCTAAAGAAATTAAGACTAAGAATCTAGTACTGGATTCTAACAGCGAGACGCAGTCCTAATTTGAGTTACGTCCGATGCATTCGGAACAGGCCTGACTTCAACAACAACAAAAAAACAACAACAACAACAACCACAAGAAAAAACAAATAAAACTTTTCATGTACACGTATACAATGACACGAGCCACGTTCTTCGAAAACAAAAATAACAAAACTACTGATACTAGCCATGAGTATAATTTCCCGTTTCCGATGACTTTAATGGCGAGGCCGGAAATAGTTCTGAAGTGGTGTTTATGGCTATATGCTGAGTCATGCACTATCGTATAATTTGGCCCACCCTACAAGTCCTTTTGTACTGTATCTGAAGCATATACCTTCTTATTTAAAAGAAATTTTTGTCGTATGTTTGGTAGCACGGCGGGTCTTTCATATGAAACACTGAGGATGCGTGTCGTCTGCAATCATTTTTGTAAACCACATTTCCGTTTGTGTAACACTTCAGCATTAGTCTGGACGGAACGCAAAAATTTTTAGGCATACGGGCAATACCCAGAATAAATAAAGCAGACTAAAAAAAAAAAGAAAGAAAGAAAGTTTCGATGACATCTACATTACGTGCTTTATAGAAATTAAAACTGTTACATAATTATTTGGCTGTCATGTCTGTTCACTGAGTTAGAGGTAAATATTAGAAAAAAGGCTCGATCCACGCACACGAGTTTGGCGGTCCCAAAAAAGGGTTCAATCCAATGTTCGTCAGTCAGCGGTGGTTTTCTCTTGGTTTTCCTCGTTGATATCCTGTTGCCTTGCGGTTATAAGACATCTTTGTCTATCATAGACCTTAGACTACAGAGCTTTTTGTATCATCCCAGTACATACTGTAAAGCTACCTTTGTAGTCTACTAACCTACAAGGCCCTTTGAAGAGACTAACAAAGGTACAACAACAACAACGAGCTTTATTTGCATGACCATATAAGCACATACAGTATTGCAAAAGCTATGTTTAGGAATCAAAATTACAACACAGGGCAATTACGGGCTTTGATAAAAATTTGTCACGAACATCAAAACAAGCTGAAATATATTTTATGAATTGTATTTTGATAAAGTAATTAGAAGAGTTCATCAGTTCATTGATCAAGACGTTTAAAGGTAACTGGGTAATATTTGGAATCAGAGTCTTGACTTTATAGTAAAATTTCATTTCTAATCATAGAGTATGTAGGATATTGAAAAAGAAAGTGAACTCCGTCTTCTTTCAATTACATCCACAAAAAGGGCAATGCCTATTATCCTTCGTAGTTTGATTGTATCTGCCTATTTCTATCATTAGTTTGTGATTGCTTATTCGTAGTTTTACTAAAACTCCCTCTCCCAACTGTTCCTCTTGTTAAGTCTAAGTAACTAGAGGAGGTATGATCGGTTTTAAAAGATCTATAAAATTCAAGTTTTTGAGAATGTTGGAGGACGTTTTGACAATATGAGATATATTCCTGTTTCATTGAACTTACATAGCTTTTTACCATAGCTATATCTAATAAATCAGGGTTAAAGTCAGGAAGCTTAAAGTATTCTGACATATTCATTAAATGAGAGTGGAAGCTATTTTTGCCATTACAGGGTAAGTCGAATGACATTAAAAAAGCTTGTTTGACACTCGAAAAAAGCCTTTAGGACCTTTAGCCGGTCTCGAAAACTCACAGGCAAGATTAAACTTGAATGCTTTTATATGGCGATGCTCTGAATTTTGCAAAGGATCGAGTAAATACACCCACATGTTGGTTGTTATGAGTCATCCAAATTAGTGAAGAGTTTTACATATACTGATCTGTAGTTTCTATCAGCTTTTGGTTGACGCCGATGAAATAAAACCTGATTTAGCTCGGGCGGAAATCCGCCACTTAAAAACGAACAGCGCCCTACCGGAATGAGTCACGTTGGCTGGGTAGAAAAAAAATGGTGAACAAAAAGCAGACAATACCATAAGCAATCCAGTCTTTATTTAGGAGTTGCTAAGGACAGCGCACTCAACAAGGTTTGAATTCCGAAGGTGAAGACAAAATAACAACCGCATTGTCAGCTAACTACTGAGAGCTCACAGAAGTACGGTAAGCCGTTTGCCTGTTATGCCTACAATGTCGCACTTTAGCCGCTCCACGTAGAACGTGCCCACGTCTACAGTTAGAAAAGTGACTTAAATGATCGCTATTTCCTGCGCAAGAAACTGCACCGTCAGGGTGTGCTGACCAGTAAAAGACATTAGAGATACAAGCTCCTGACCAAGGTAGAACCATCTCAGTACCCAGCGTAGATGATCTGTTACCTTACGTCTCTTGTCATGAAGTAGCCTGCGAACGACCGACGTTTCTCCTCGCTCATCGCCGCTGAGGGACGTTTCGCGAGGAGAAACGTCTGCCGTTCGCAGGCTAGTCATGAAGATCAGGCTGCAGACGGTTAAAAGGTGGTTAACAATATCCATTGGATGAATTTCTATCCACTGAATAGCGCAATTGGTTTCCCTAACACTTATCCACTGGATAGTGATTTATCCGTTAGATAGCACTATCCTTCTTTTGAACACCTGAGGCCAGATCCCACTGCATTTTTACTGCACTGCCTCTTTAAAACATGAACTATCTCACTAACGGCGATATACTAAACCTGTGGGAATTCAACACACAACATCGCAGAGATAAAAATCATAATTTCATACACTTTATCTAGGGGCTTAAAAGAAAGACTGCAGCAGATTCCGAGGCTGGATAAAAGAAAAATATTTTATTTGTTGGTTAATTATAAACAAAACCCCATCCCTCGGCTCTGTCAGTCCCTGAGTGGGTATCCTACATAGCTTCAAAGTTTTGATCACTTTCAATGTACTTTTGGCTTTGTCATTTCCGTTGAGTATGATTATCACAGTAAATAAAACCCCCGGGAGGTACTTGCCGAAGTTTTCAAGTGCGAGGAGACTCCGCTCCGAAGTCCAGCCCCTTACCCTTTTATGTAACGCTTTTGACAGAGAAGAAACCCCTTTAGTTTACCTTCTATTGACAAATGGTACCCTTTTCGCATAACTTGTTTAGAACACTACATCCCCTTTAACTGCTTTCAATCAGTGCTCAGTCTAGAAAGTTTTCTCGTTCTTTTCACATCCATAAATTGCGTCTGTAAGCCCTTTTGGCCTAGCTTGGGACCAGGCTCCGCCGGTTAGGAGGACAAGGAGAAAAAAAATCGGTGTGGGCGAAAAAAAAAAAGAAATCGGCTAACGAAGCGAGCCGAGAGGTAGTCTGGGGAGCGGAAAGGGTAGCGAAATGACATATTTCCCTACCCTTTCATACGCTTCAACTGATGAAATCCTGAGTACCCTTTTATTTACCTAGTAGCCAACTCGAAAGCTTGGCGCCTTTGGCTGCTACATACTTTTTCCTTTGTTATGTTTAATTCAATGTATAGTTAGCTGTGTTTTTACTTCTTATTTTTTCTTATTGTTGTTGTATTGTAATTGTATAAGTGTGAATAAATGAACTTGAACCTAAGGTCTGAAAAAGGTACCCCTTTCGGGAGGAGCCTCCCCGTATAGGCCGTTATAAGGAGTACCCCCTGGAGCAAATCCGAAGAGCGACGGGTTTTTTTAGTATATTCCTCATCAGAAACTGTTTTTTTCCTATCCTTTTGTGTCTTGTATTAAAAAATAATCTCTCTCCATCCTATACGCGATCTAAGTTTAATAGAACGGAAAAAGTGAACAACTGTTCCTGTTCTAGCGCCTTATCTTGGATCCCGAGATATGATCGACTACAATTTCAAACTTTGTCTTCTCGAAAACTTCCTTTTCTGCAAGAGAACCCTCCATGCAAGATCTGATAAAAATCTGATAAAAGACACTCTTTCATAGCAAGTGCAATGCGATCACTTACACGGTCAGGTGGGCAAACTGTTTAAGCTGACCGTGCGAAGAATCAATATAGTAATATCTAGCTGGAAAATCGCAGCTTTTGAGCAGATGAGTCTAATTTATCTCCTGGATAACTATTTATCCGTTGGATGAATCTTTAGAAGATAGCGATAACGACCAATATTAGTATAAATTTTACCATGCAACGAATTACGCATCTTTGGGTGTGGCATGACGACATCAAGTGCTTTTTCTACCCTGGAGGCAAGTTTGAAGGCAAAGTTCTCTTCTTATCCATATCCGGTTTTAAAACGTATTAATCTTAATTTACAAGCAGCTGTTATTTTTGCGAGTCAATCTGTTTTGATGATATATATCTGGCTCTAACCGTTTGTAAGCCCAGCTGCCGGGCATGGCCGCTCATAAATTTTATACAGTTTTATTTTGACTGAAGAGGAATACACTTAACTTTTAGAATAGATAAGAGAGTGCGGTTGTATCTGCATTCTTTGTTCTTATCACTCATTGAAGAACGTCATCAATGATTTCAGACTATTTTCAATTACGCAAAGCACTGACCAACAAGGCAATTGTTTGAATTGAATCTAGAACCTTTTCTTGCAAACTTAAGCCTTAAAAACAATCTCGCCCCCAGAGCTTTTCTCCCCAGAAATTTCCCAAGGGGAAAACCCTGGTTAACAAGGTTGAGTTAGAATTGCGAATTTAATAATTGCACTGAAAAATATACTGAGATTGTTTCAGAAGAAAATAGATAGGAGAGTTTCGTAACACAGTCCTAGAGCCGAAAAATGTCTTGAAGTTGAATTGAATGTGATTGATAATTCAACTGAGAAAAGTTTATCTTAAAACAGCGTATTCGTCTCAATCTCATCCATATACATCCGTTTGGCCGTGACCTTGAACAGTTTACCGTAGTAAATCACACCATTTAAAAAGTATATTGGGCTCACAAAAAAAGTATAAAAAGGCACGAGCTGTACCTAAACACTACAGATTTAGCGTCCATTCTTCCATTCACCGCATTTTTTTAAGGCCGGAAGTATTACGTTATGGCGGTTTTAAACTTCTTAAGGGGCGACGCCTGTTTTTGATCATAGTCGTGCTGCCTCTCATACCATGAAATAAACAATATTTTGCTCAAAGAGATGCCAACACAACTCTTAAAGTCAAGAAAATTCAGAGAATTTTTTTAACAAAGTATTTAGGAACAAGAGAATCAAGCGAAAGATCTGCTGGTCTGACAGTTTACATTCGGAAAGTTACGCTAGGACAGGTACGATTTCTTTCGCCGTGGACTCTGGCCACAGTTCAAGGGAGACTATTTGGGTGTCCTTTTCTGCATGCGACCCAAAACAAGTTACTGTTTAGTCTCGCTGGTGTCGTCCTGAATCAGTTTCAATTTCTCTCTTAATCATCAGAGAAGATTTACATTCTTTGGCTGATTAATTTTTCCGAACAAGTTTTAAAGTCTTTACAAATAATCTAGAGTAAGAGGTATTTCTTATTCATTACAAATAGTTAAGGTTAGGACTTGTTAGTGAACTCTCATGTCCTCGTGTTTTGAACCTTACGGCTTCGCCCCTCACAGCTGCTAGACTTTACTGAAAAATAAGAGACTTCAGTTAATGCACAAAATACTAAACATGAACGGTAAGCACTTCTCTATTTCGCTGTTTAAATCAAGTTTTCAAGCCAAGATTACACCTGAGAATACTGTCAGTTTTTCCACAGTCATATATTACGTACATTTAGCATCTTTTGATAACTTGATTCAGAGAGACTGAATCAAGGCTCACTCAGTTCAGTTGAAATTAAGCCTCGCACATTAACCCACACTATTTCCCTTAAAGTTGATTTCGCTGCTGGCAGGTTGAAATTAATCAGTCAAACCGGGGAAATATTTTTGCCAAGTCATTGTATCAGATTTCCAATGCCCACGGAGTGAACATTTTAATGGTAAAATTTTTTGCTTACAGTTGGTCTTTCCTACCATCTAGCGAGCTTAGTCCAATCAATCTTTCAGCGCAGTCATAAAATATATCCAGCCAACTCATTAATTAAACTTTAACTAAACACATCAGTTTCAGTTGTCAGTTAGTTTATTGAGGGCATTACAGTTTCGATTATAGAGTCGTATGACATTTTTGTAGTTAATCACTTTATGTAGCTACTTATACACAGAGCACACAACAGCTGAAAAAATAACAAGGGAAATACAAGATTGCGGATAATTTGGAAGGAAAACTCAACGTGAAAAAGCTTATCACGTCACCCGGCTGTACCAGGAAAGTTAGACATTTGTGATTTTCAGTGCCATCCGGGTCTTGATATATTTTTGGAACATTACTGCGGTTGATATAGCCATCTAGCTAAAGTGTGGTAAGCCAGTAATAGTTTCGGGTAATGCCAAGAGCATCTCGCTATTTTTAGCTGTGTCCTGATTCAAAGATAAATCCACAATTATATTTCTCGCATTTAATTGTTCGTGCTGTAAGGCCATCTTCCCATAAATGGTAATCGGGCAATAGGAAAACTCTTATGCAATCTATCTCTTTTACAAACATTTTATACAGTTCAGTTTTTGTTTGCTCAAGCAGTTAGGATCAGAGAGCTAGTAACTGAGCAAAGTCAAGAAAATAACAAGGGAACAAATCCAGGTATGTCAGCTTCATGTAAACTTTGTCTTTAATGGTAGTTCAGTCTATTTTCTGGGTAAGAGATTTCTAATTAAGAGTAATTTGATTTAAAAGACGTTTCTCTTGCTGGGAAGAGTGAGGAGCGATCTAACAAAGCTACAACCAGGGGTCGCTAAAAACTTTTTGGGGGTGAAAAAAACGGCTTTGTTACGAGTTTTAAGCTAAAGAAAGGCTCTCCTTGTGGCCGGAAAACACGCTTCATTCATCTTATGGCTTAACCTTACTTTGTACAATATTTGTCACTGAGAGACAAGACGTTACAAGATTTTTTTTTCTAGTCACCGATTGAACTGCAATAGTAACGTCTAATATTTTTTATTTTGCTTTGCTTTGTTTTATTTTTTTCTTTACGCTTTACACGATGTCTGTAATTTTTCCCGCCTTGGATGCCATAAGATAGTCGTGATCGGTATCCGGCTCAGGGTTTAAGTGGCGCGCGTATAACTGCCGGGATAAACGCAACTAAAAACAGACTTTTCGTTGGTACTGTTCGTGATGTACAAGGTGTTTTTGCTTTCAGCCTCGTTAAAAAAACCGTGACCCCAGAGTAAGCGTCGCTGTTTATAATATTACTTAAAGGATGCTATGTCACGCTGGCTTTCTTTTTAACAAGCTAAAATTTGCCTTCGCATAAATTGAATTCCAAAAAAATAGTGGTCCAGTTTTGTAGCCATTAAAACTCGTTTCTGTCCTCTGTTGCTACGGATGTCAGGGATATACGGACATGGATTGAAACTTTAAAAAGGTTGGCCAACCTTTTCAATTAGTGATGTGCCTGAAAAATCACCCAAAAAGTTGTTATCACTAATTGTTACTGCACCCGATAAAATTTCACTGATATCTTCTTCTTAACTCTACAAGAGCATTTTGTGTATGGGCCAAAGACACCAAGCAATGACTTCAGCACAGAATTGACTTAAAACAGCAATGATCAACGCCTAGTCGTTCAAAGGGACAGAAATCCGACGAGAAAATCGTCTTTTCCCCCTTACCCCCATTAAACCTTTTAGTCCTAATAGTGATCGATGACGATGACAATGCATTGTGAAGAGAAAAGATTATGAGAAGTGATACAATTTTCATCAAAGAGAAAATGATTCGATCTTTTATCGAATTTTGCCAACAAAATTTTGTAAGGAAATATATAAAGATCAGTCTGGAGATTTAGGGCCCGGAGGGGGTACTCCCATATATGGGCTATATAGGTACGTGCCGCGGAATAGGGTATGGTTTTTGAGGTTCTCAGTCCTTAAATAGGGTATCTTTTTTTACCCTTTTGTTTCTGTCAGTCGCTGGTGTGTTCCTTAGATAGGGTAGCTTAATTGTGTTATCTAATAGTGGAGTGTGAAAACGCCTGCCTAAACGAACATTTTTTTTAAACTAGGCTTATTCTAGTATTTTATGCTTGATGCTGTACATCCAATGTTACAGAGAAGAAATAAAGGTTTCCTTTTCATACTATTGATAATTTTGTTTTTTCCTTGAATAGGGTGTCATTTTTCGGCTTTGGGCCTTAAAAAGGGTATCCGTTTTCGCTTTCTTAGTCCTTAAATAGGGTTAGGGTTCACGAACCTTCGCGGCGCACCCCTATCTAAATTCGCGGGAGTACTCCCCCCCGGGAGTTAGGGCTTAAAGTGTTCATGATGAAATGCCAACGGCTCGCGAGTGAAAGGTGTTAAGATGCAATTTCCTGTGTTGTTCTTATTGAAGAACAAGATTCATAGTTCTGTAGATTTAGTGTTCACCCCTTCGATATCAGTGTCGCAGCTGTGAACAGAACATGCAAGCGATGACTGAGCTATTTGTGACTGAACGTGTTCTTTACGATAAGTTGACTGCCTTTTTTTTTCTTTCTTTAAAGTTGTTGTTGTACTTAATTAATGCTTAAAAAAACATCATAAATAATAAATATAATATAATATAATTTCTTAATTGTTATTATATTTTACGAACGTTTCAGTCGTTTTGTGCTAAGACCAGGAAATAAACGGAAGAGTCCATTTTTTGGAAGGTTTCGACATCGAACAGATTCAATCCACGCAAATAACTTGACATAAACCTCCCGTAAGGTTAAACGTCACATTACAGCTGAGTAAGGAGGAAACGGAAAATCGTCATTTTCGGTACTTGAACCAAAACATCTCAGGCATTCTCGGTTTGTCTCTTGTGTTTTGTTTTAAAATTAAGTTGTACATCTATATCTACATTTTTTAACGGCTGACGGCGCAAGATGTTTATCAAAATGCATAGGATTAGCCGTCGTTAAGAGCTTTTGTTGTAAAATCGGGCGGTAAATTCTGAAATGAGTTATTTCTTCACTGCCCTATGATATGTAAAAACCGTTAACCTTGCTTCAGAATTCCTTTATATCTATTTCTCTTTTGTCGGCAAATTCTGCTATGAGGAATAAATCACACTTACCATTCAGTAAACTACCGTTACGACATACCCCAGTCCAGCTGGGGAATAAATCGCCCGCATCAATTTAAAACGGATCGCGCGCCTGCAGACGATCAACAGACTTGCTTTAAAAACAAAGTTACAAAGTTATCGGTGTGTCATATTATTATTGTCATAAGTGTCATAGCAATTATAAGTTGTTTATACTAATTTCTCATGATAAATGAAATGCCAAGACATCATATTTCTTTCAAAGAGGACTCCTTAGCAACGTCTGTGGTGCTTTTTCTTTTATTTGGCCGGAATTCTTTTACCATTTTAAGGAAACTCAGGTAAGGTATTAAAGGAGGTTTGAAAGAATTTGTCAATTTAGTTATTTTTCTTAATACAATGACCCTCTATTGGATGAAAACGCTAGCTTTTCGCCCGAGTAAATAAGTTCATGTTGACAAATGCCACAGTATCACCAGTTACAGTTCTATACCGGCTCCAAACCTTTTTAGTGCACTTTCAAAAGGCTAACGGCGATGGACAGTGAATTAAAGTAACAACCTTAGCTTACAGTAATTTTTTTAGCTTTTGAAAATCTGCCTTGTTTGACCGTTGTAAGCCTACCCTGGTATCAGGGTTTTTTTTCGTGGGGCGATTGAGTGCGATGGAGACTGCTTTTTTTCTGCGGGTCGGCCGCATGCAGGCCGAACAATGGTGCGGTAAGTATTCCGCGTAGAAAGTACTGCCGATGAACTGATCCACCACAAATCGTATAATTTTATTTTTGTTTATTAACTGAGGTGATACACTCTTTATTTTTTTGGAAGAATGTTGTTTTTCCTGCCCAGGCTCAATATTCTTATTTTTCTGCCGATTTTAGGCTAAAAATATTCTTGTATTATTCTTAAATTATAGCTTATGACATTTCCGTTATAGAATTTATTGGGGGTATCAATTACAAGTGTTTGGTATCTAGATCTGTGCTGAATACTGTACATTAGCCTGCGTGGCAGGCGTTTGAAAGGGAAGGGAAAGGGGTTTTTTTTAAACTCCCTTTCCCTTTCCTTTCAAACGCCTGCCACGCAGGCTAACTGTACATATGTATTACATGTACCGTTCATCGAACTGTCATTAGCGTTGAACATTTTGCTAAAGCTAGTTCAGGTTTTTTCGTTTTGTTGGCTAGTTTCGCCGTTCAGAGAAAGGAATAATTTTATACGGTTAAGTTAAAAACATAAAATTGTATTGTATTTATCCTTTTCAAAATCTCAGCCTCGGCTTTATTCTTAAAATATTCTTAAAATTTCGCAAATTTCAGCCTCGATATTTTTATAAAATATATTCTTATAAAAAAAAAGAGTGTATTGCAATTATTCGATCTGGGAAAAGGACAATACAA